ATTCTAGTGGGCTTTCTTATAATGTAAAAGGGATGTCCTGAGTGCTAGGCGCTGTGCTGGGGTATGGGGTGCAGCAGCAAACAGGACAGATGTTGCCCCTGCCCTCGGAGAACTAACGTTTAGAGAGAGACAGTTAAACAGTTAAAATGCCATGTGCTAGGGGATGGAGTTCCTAAGGGTCTTAGAGAGAAATCATGAGCCATATGAGCCTAGAGGTAATCAGGAACCTGGTATTCTAAAGTTTAATTAGAACCTGGTATGCTAAAGTCTACTTAGAAAAAAGCAGGAGCTCTAGGGCACCTGGGGTACTCAGTTCATTGAGCGGCTGATGCTTGGCTTTGGCTCAGATTGTGATCTCAGGGTCCTGAGATCAAGCCCTGCATAGGAGTTCTTGCTCAGCAGGGAGTCTCCTTAAGTTTGTTTGTCCCTTTCCCTCTGCCCCTTCCCCCCACCTGGCTCTTTCTGTCTCTCTGTCACTCTCTCTAAAATAATAAATCTTTAAAAAGGCAAACGGGGGAGAGTCCTGACTGGCCCAGTTAGTAAAACATACAAGTCTTGATCTTGATCTTGGGGTCATGAGTTCAAGCCCCATGCTGGGTGTAGAGAGCACTTAAAATTAAAAAAAAAAAGATGTGTATAAGAGCAGGAGACCTGAGTTTTATTCTTTTCTCTGTCTTTACTACCTTTGTGATGTGTCTAGCTTCATTTTCTCATCTATAAAATGGAACAGTAATATTTGTCCTGCTAACTCTTGGGGTTGTTCCAGGAAGTACATTAGAGAATATATTATGAAAATGCTGTAAATATTACTGAACATTTTGTTTTTCCATGATGTAACGTGGGGTGTAATTTACTCTGTTGCTAATAATTTGTCCGTGCATTCACTCATTCGACAAATATTTGCTAAGCACCTACTTGTTTGAAGAGCCTGTGTTAGACCCTGTTTTTTGCTTGAGTTCATCCTCTTGCATTATCCCATTCAGAGTATCTAGATTTGTTTAGCGTTAATTCTCCTATTAAGTTGGAGTGGGGATGGGAGGAAATTCACAGTTCTTGATCCCTATTTCAGTCCAGGGGCTTTCCTTGAGTGATCTTCCCGGGGGCATGGGTGGAGGTGGCCGGGAGGAGCACAGATGAGAAGCCGTTGGCTTAAATATTCATTTCATGCTTCGTGGGCTAGTTTAACATCTGGGGAAAAACAGTTTAATTATCTTATGGAATTGTTGCCAAATTGTTTAAAATTACTTTTAAGACTGGTGTTACTCATTTTACTAGCCAAAACATAACCACCAAATGAAATCTTGTACATCAACGTAGTCAGGAAAAGATTTTATAAGTACTATGTGTGTTTATGTTACATTTATATTCATTACAAAAGAACTAGTTTTCGTTATGTAGAATAGTTTGGAGGGGGGATTCTGTAGTCCGAACAGAATATACTAAAAATCTTGAAGAGTAAAGCATGATCCCAAATTATTTCTAACTTCTGGAATTTATTTTATTTTGGTCCCAACATACTTTATAAACAGCTGGATTGTGGGCATTTCAGCATGATAATATGCTGTATTTCCACATTATTACACACCCTCAATATTTTTGAAGCTTAATTAATTGCTAGTGAAGATAGCATTAGCTATCCCTCAAGAATATGCTGGTAGTTTTGTTTGATCTTCAGGAATAACCCTGTGATCCTGCTATGTTTAAAAACTCAAATAGATTTTTTAGAAAAATGATCAATACTTTCTGACAAGATGAAAGATACCCTTAAGAATCAGAAGGTATTATCAGTCATGCCAACCCCAGCTGTTTGAATACTAAGCCACGTGGCTTAAAAAGATTTTTAAAAATAAATATAAAATTGAAATGGCAGTGTCTGCTCTATCTAGCTTTTTCAAAAATATATAGTCAAGGGGTGTTTGGGTGGCTCAGTTGGGTAAGTGTCTGCTTATTGGCTCAGGTCATGATCTCAGGGTCCTGGGATGGAGCCCCAAGTTGGGCTCCCTGCTTCTCCCTCTCCCTCTCCCCCTCCCCTCTGCTTGTGCCATCTCCCCCTCTCTCTCAAATAATTAGATAAAATCTTTAAAAATACACACACACACCTGGACTAATAGATGTTCTTCCGATCCTGTGATTTTATTTATTCGTGGGACAGCAGACTCAAGCTCTAGTTAACTTGAGACGGAGAATAAGAGCTGGGCCAGCACGTGGCCCTGGAGCTTCGTAGAGGCTGTAGAGTCTTTCCAGCAGCGTGGTCTTTGGCAACAAGTTTCCATTGTTCACGACCCGGTATTGGTAGGCTCTGAGCATCTCCGTTCATTTCACACTGGGCAGAGCCTTCTCCTTGTTCCAGACGGTATTGACGTGGAGCCCAAAGAGATGTCTTCCCAAGTTTCGCCTACGCTCAGAAATGTATGTTCATTTCTGCAAAGATGAAAGTGTTAGTATTTTTTGCTCATGTACATTCTCTCCTTCAGCATTTGCAGAAGGAAAATGAAATCTTTTGACTAAGGCACCCCTTAGCTTCTGCTAAAGCTCTATTCTCCCATGGTTTTTTCCCTTCCTTTCAAACATGAACCTGCTGCCTGCAGAGCCTTCTCTGAGTAGAATAGGCTTGGTCCTGAGCAGGTCAAACGGTTAGATAAAAGAGGGCAACAGGCAGGTTTCTGTCCTTGCCTGGGCCAGAAGGACAGCACCAGAGTCCATCTACCCTGTTTAGGTGTTTCTTATTCCCCTCCCCATTTTCAGTATTTCTTTCCCTTCCCAGTGTGTCCTCCAAGCTATGGGTGCCCTTCCCATTTTACATAAGGAAGGACCTAGAACAGCCTGGGGTTTTTTTATGGAGGCACTTCTTTTGTATATGTTCCAGTCTGAGCTGTAGGACCTTGCTTTTTTATTGTGTTTCTTTACTTGGTCCTTAGTTCTTCCTCTTGCTCATACCTCTTGCTCATAAAAACATTTGTTTTTTATCAAATATTCCTGACAAATTAAGTCTCATTCTTGAGAAACTCTTGACCTTGCCCCCAGTACCTTTTAAAAAGTATGTATATGGGGCACCTGGGTGGCTTAGTCGTTAGCTGTCTGTCTTCTGGCGCTCAGGTCATGATCCCAGGGTCATGGGATCGAGTCCCAGGGCAAGGAGCCTGCTTCTCCTGCCTGCCACTCCCCCTGCTTGTGCACGCCCGCTCTCTCTCTCTCTCTCTCTCTGAAAAATAAATAAAATCTTTAAATATATATAAACTGAATTCAGACATCAGCAGGAATGCCCAGGAGCTAATAAATACCATGTTGGCACATGCCTCCCTTAAGAGTTAAACACCCCCTCCCCTGCCACCAACAGACAGCAATGTGTCATTTTAAGAGAGCGTTAGCTGTTATCATAAACACGCTTACTGTAGGGATTCTCCGAAGGTCAAGTATAAAAGATCATCTCTTCTGATACGTTTGATATCAGATAGAACTCATTCTTCCACAATGTGGAAGATGTTCTTTTGAAAATCTGGATCTCAAACTTTTCTTTTGTGTTAGTAAGAGTAGATGAGACATAGAGGTGGTGAGTAAATTTGGCGGAGTCCTGGATTTCGGTAAAACAGCAAACTGCCCTGTGGATCAGGTTGAAGCCAGTAACCAAAGCATTCACCGGACTGATCCAAGCTGCAGACTAAGAAGTGTAGCTGCAACTTTTCCCCAGACCTCCTTTGTTTGCCTTTAAATTTCCTTGCCTCTCCTCCTTCAGGGAGGCAGATTGGAGGCTTGTCCTCCCCGTCCCCTCCAATGGCTGCCTCTAGAGTAAGCCCTTTCCTTGTGGCTTACCCCACCCATGTCTCGGAGTCTGTCTTTGCTGTACATCAGGCAGATGAACTTGGGTTCTGTTACATGGTGAGGACCAGGTGATCCAAGTAAGATGTTTCTGCCCGGCAGTTCTGCTGTCAAGTTTATTCCGAGCTGAATTCCATTGCCAGTGTCACTTCCTAAGCCCACAGATCTGTTTCAGAAGAGTCTAAGCATTTCTGAGCAGTGTGTAAGCCCGTGTCTGACGCCAGCCACCATCCGCGTGCCTACGGCACCGCGTTCATGCCTAGAGCCAAAAGATCACATTGCTCTTTGGAGTAGGATAAAAAATGAAGTGATAGGGTGAAATGAAATGATAAAAAGTGCCCCCGAAAAGCTGAGATGTAGTTTTTTCTAATGGTGAAAATCGAAACCTCCTTCCTGGTCCTTTCTGAGCAAAGTTCAGTCTGTTTCTGTCCCTTAATAGTTACACGGTCCTATTGAAATAAGTTACAAATACTTGTTTTGAAACAAAAAGAGACATCTGTTAACCCATAGACGCCCTCACTTTTTTCTTCCTCCTGCCTCATCTCTCATTGAAAAGCCTAGTATGGATGAGAGTATTATTGGATTAATTAACTTTCCGTCCCCTTTTGTATTTATTTAATCCAGAAAGCGCTATGAGATACTGAGTCTTTGAAAATAATGCGTAAGTTAATCATTACATGACCATCAGCCTGCTAGTTTTATAACGTCTGAGGCCCTGTGGTTTGTTAAATGTACTGAAAGCTGCTTCTTAGAAGCTTCTTCAAGTCAGGTTTCTTCCAGAAGCTGCTGAGTGAGAGGGTGGGGTTTCAGCAAAACTCTAAAATAAGGCCCTCTACTGTTGCATATGATCGATTGTAGTATTAGGTTTTTTATTGTTTGTGAAATCTTACATATATTTTAATATGATTATTAATATAATATTAAAATACTATGTAGTTACAGCTTAAGACAAGATTGCATTTGCCTAAAAAAAGTGATTTTTACAAAAACTTTATTGGTCTGGAAGAGATGTTTAGGAGCCTATGCATTAGGTCATGGTGGGAGAGGTGCTTTTTTTTTTTCAAGTATAATTTTAAAAAATACATTCTCAGGTTCCCTATGGAAGCCTGACTAATTCTCTTGAAGAAACGGGAAGATCTAATTCTCTGTTGCTTAATCTCTGTGGTTTTATAATTTGTTTCTAGGTACCAAAGGAAGAAATAAAGGAGAATTTACAAATCTCCAAGGGGTAGCTGCGTCTACAAGTGGAAAGATACTAATTGCAGATAGCAACAACCAATGTGTACAGGTATGGCCCCTCATTATATACCTTTCTGAGCATATTCCTACTTAAGACTTCAGATCTACAGTACAAAGAAAGAAAGAGAAGCCTACAATTGTGGAGAGGCTTTTCTTCAAATGGGATTTGCTTGTCCTGGCCTGTAGTACATATGACGGGCGTGTTCTTGACTGTTTCATCCTCACTCATTTCTGTGCAAGTTCACGTTCCAAGGAATGTCATTTGTTTTGCAGATATTTTCCAATGACGGCCAGTTCAAAAGTCGGTTTGGCATACGAGGGCGCTCTCCTGGGCAGCTGCAGCGGCCCACAGGAGTGGCTGTGCATCCCAGCGGGGACATAATCATCGCAGACTATGATAATAAGTGGGTTAGCATTTTCTCTTCTGATGGCAAGTTTAAGGTAAGATTAAGCTGCCAGGTGGCTGCTAAACAGTAGAGAGAAGAAATAGGAACTATAAAGATGAACTTCGACAAGTTCTCATATACAAAGACCTGTTCACATTGTTCCATCTAACCTTTATGGAGAGGAACAGTGATATTGTCATAAATCTTATATATAGGAAATAGCAGCTTCATTTTGTCAAGCTGTTAGGTTGCTCAGTCACTTTCTTTTTACGTATGATCATATTTACCTAAATGCAATGAAGAATAGCTGTTAGAAAAGGGTATCGAAGGGGCCACTGATATCTCCCCACTTAACCCACAGATTGGCATGTGTGAAGTTGCCTTCTACTGTCTCAGGCCTGTTATAGAGGATGATATGGGAGAACCAGAATTGTAAGACCTGGTTTGTATCTTTGAAAAACCTACAAGCCTCTTGAGGAAAAATGACACCAGAATGACACAAAACAATTTGTGTCAGCCTCGAATCAGTCATACATTGTTTGGTGCAATCTGAAAACCTACTAGTGAAATGTGTAAATAGGAATTGGGAGGAAAAGAAAATGGCGGCTGGCAGCACAGAGCAAAGGGGAGTTTAGTTGTACTTTGGGGGGGGTCCCATCACTTGACATATTTGCTATTGTCCCCAGCATCATCTCTTTCTTCAGCAAGTCACTGAAGAGTAGAGAGCCTGCTAGGGATACCAGGAATCTCTCTTGTAAGGTGTCCTCAAAGAATATTATCATGTAGCCTGTTCTCTGTTGTTCTCACGAAGATTGAGACACTTTGTCAAACATGTTTTCGAAGTCTATAAGCACTGTGCCTCCTGTATTGCCCTGTCCAGCCTGTTAGAGGCTTCTCATGTACTTTCACTCAGACAAATCAGCCCTTGGGAATCCCAGGTCTGCAACTTATGAACTACTGATATAAGTTCCCTGAGCCTCGATAGTCTCCTATGTCAAAGTTGGATTAAAAAAATATATGTTTTATGGGATTTGGGTAAGGATTACAGATTTATTTTTGGATTTTATATTGCCTTGTATGAAAAAGGCATCTGCGTCCAGTAACCCTGTCCAAAAATGAAGTTTGTTTGATCAGCTGTGATTTGGACTCCAGGACTTGCCAGCACTTGGTCGGAACTTCCTTTTCCATCTTTTGAGAGATTGATGCTCTTCATAATCTATTTTGGAATCCTGAAGATTACACGAAGTTCACTCGGTAGTTTCTTTTTGGAGGAATTTATATTTCCCTTTTTAAAGTTAGTTGTTGGATCACTACAGTCACCCCTCATTTTTATTAAAACAAGTTACTTCCATTATTACTAACCCTCAGATGGGAGCCTCTGTTTTATGTGGGGCAGCATCTTTTCAATCTAGGAGACTCAAAAGCTGTAGTTTCTAATTCCGCCACATTCTTCAATTTAAATGCCACACAATTCTTCAACTGCCCTTGAGGTTTTCTTTTTCTTGTTCCACCACAAATTTGATGACTCCATATGATGGCCACATACACAGAAAGGTCTCTTGCCTTTCTAGATCTCTACCTTCCTCCCCTTCTTTTTATGTTTTTGTAATTGTATTTGTAGTAAGACATACTCAAATACAACAGCTTTAACATGAACAGAAGGAAAACTGTTCAGTGACATCCATCTAATTTGGAGACAACCCATTTCCTTGTGTTACATACTCTAGCAAAATCATGACCTGTCTCTAACTTCATAAACGAATGCTAAAACAAGTATAAAGGCAGCAGTTTTATGTCTAATATACTGAAATATTTTATATCTACTATATTAAGACATTTTGAAACTGAAGTTTTATATTTAGGAGAGGAGACCTTCCTGAATTACGCATTTTTCATTCAATTTTTCCATAGTCTGTATGTAATAGACACTAACCTGGGAGATCCAGATCCTCACAGCTGGAATACTGTTGTAGTAATTGGAATAAACAATAACACTTGTGCCCTCTAGAGGACAGATAAGGCAGAGTTTCAGCATACCCTTTTATTTTCAGTAGGCGTTGATTGGGAGTGAAAGGATAGCAAGTAAAAATGCTTTAATACTGTAATGGGAGCTCATCCGACTTACCATTTGCTCGACCATTTACTGAAAGATACTTATTTTCTTTTCATGGTGTTCAGTAAAATTAAACATGTGCTCAGAAAGACAAACCCTCAACACAAAGGTGAATTCTTTGTGTTTGTTCCTAGTTAGTTCTAGAGACATAACCACTTACCCCTTTTCTTTCTTCTACTCACCAAATTCTTAGCCCTAATTTTCATTCCTCTCTGCTTCTGATTTTTTCCTTGCCATCTTTTCTGTCGATTTACATCTTTCAGCCCATCCCAGAAGGCTTTTGTAACCCTAGAACAGACAAAGAGGCCCCAGCATATCCTAAAATATCTCATCTCTTCCTTCTTCAATCTAAGGATCTACTTGTTGAGTTAAATACTTCTATTTACCTGTTTCAAAGTCAGGGTCTAAAATACCTCTGCTCACTATTGGGTTTAAGACAGGGGACACGTCAGGCCAAGTGCAGTGACTCTTAGTTTCACATTAACATGTGAATGTTACTTTCACGTTCACACTAACATGGTAAAATCTGGTGCAGCTACGCTGGGAGTGATGAAAGTAGAAGAAAAAGAGGTTTGCACTCAACATCGCAGGTTTTCTGCCCTTTTTTTTTTTTAAGACCTGCTCTAGCTCTTACTGCATGATGGAATGGCAACAGTCCTTTATTTTCTGTCTTTGTTGTATGTAATTGCCATCTATTTGGTATTATATGACTGAGGCATTCTAAAGTACAGCTAGTGTTCATAGTGTTAGGTGTTGTATGTATATATGCTGTTTTATGTGGGTTTTATATATTCAAGAATAATATTCTTGTAATAATCAGAGGGTCCTCACTTCCTTTTGATCTCTACTGACATATCTTCCGTTACAACATGAAAGAATACAGTATCTTTATAGATCGTTATGGTACAGCCTCTTTGATCTCTGAGCTAATTTACAAAGTCAGAATCAAATTTATATAACAGATTCCCTTGGAAGAATCCCATTGTTTCCTTCCTAAGTAAATGTGTCTGTTCGTACTCAAGACAACAAATTTGAATCTCATCTATAAGCTTGTAAGAAAGAAAAATCCCACACTATGAAGAAGTCCCTATCCCTCTCTCCATACCCTCTTTCTGCACATACCTGCATGTCTTTGTTAATACTTGAGTGACAGGTATGACAGCAATGGAATGGGTGGAGAGAAGGAGATTTTGTGCCATCTGCTGTGCTTGGCGCACTGTCCTTCAGAATCTGCATGACCCAGGAGGTAAATGCAATAGCTACCATTTTACAGATGAGAAAACTGAGGTTCCAACTGGTAAAAGAGTAAATTTGGCTCTGAAATTTTGATCCTGAGTTTGAATGAACTGTGGTATCATAAAAGAAACTAGGAAATCAGGAGGTGCTAATTTTTTTTTTTTAAAGTGCTGGAAAGGAGATAAATTTGGCTTAATACTGGTTGAGTTAGGGTAATAACTTGTAAAATAGGTCAGGACTAAAGATACGGATTTGAGACTCTTACACACAGAGGTGAAAGTTGATGCCATTGCATAAATGAGGTCTTAGAAGAAGTGTAGAGAGTTACGCTGTCCAGTTTGGTAGCCACTAGCCACAGTGGATGCTGAGTTCTTGAAATGGGACTGGTCTGAACTGTGCTGTGCTATGTGTGTGAAATACACACTGGATTTTAAAGACTTAGTAAAAAAAATGTAAAATATATCATCATTAATTTTAATATTGATTACCTTCTGAAATAACTGTTTATCATATGTTAGGTCAAATACAGTATATGATTTACATACTTTTCCTTTTTTTTTCTTAGTTTTTCCGATGTTGGTTACTAGAAAAGTCTTAATTACAGATATGGCTTATGTTATATTTCTACCAGGCAGAGAGAGAAAATAAGAGGACTAAAACAGAACCTATGGAAATGTAAATTTGGGGGGATTAAAAATTTTAATTTAAAAAGTAATACATGCAGATAGGTTTTTAAACTAACCCTACAGATGAGCATCAAATCAAAAGTTAGAGTTTCTTCTGCCAGCAGTAATACCGCTGACTTCTTACCTTCTCTTCCAGGAATACATATACAGACATAAACCCATTTAAATCAGGTGGGCTCAGACTATACCCATTGTTCAGGACCTTGGTTTGTTTAATAATATGTTTGAGGAAGCATTTATAAAAACACACAGAGATCTACTCTACCCTCTAAGTCTCGGTGCCTAGGGGAGCGGCGGCTCTTGCCTCTTTCGTCACTGGGCACTCGGCCTGGCTGCTCCCTCCCCTTGGGTGCTCCCTCTCCTTCCTTTCTGTAGTGACTCATCCTATTAAGTTTTTAATAGGATAATAAGTTTTTGTTCTCTTTGGCTTCTGACATCGCCTGTTTGAATTCTCCCAAATCTCCCAGTCTCCCAAATCAAACACTCAATACCAGGCACTTTAAAAAGGACCCAGTGACCGTATTTTTCTCTGTAATGTGACGGAGACATCTCCAGGGTAAGGGCTAGTCTTGGCATTGCCTACTCAGTGCCTGCAACCCTCAGCCACAGAGTTGGTGCTCCATTTACTAATGCTATAAAGCATAAGTAAATAAATGGGTGCATGAGTAAAATACTTCTTTATAATGTTGCTATAAAAGTATATGAACAGGCATTTATATAGTCTACTCAGAAAAATGAATAAGATTTAAAATGAATATGGTATGTGTTTGAGAGAAATCAAATGCTTTTCTCCCATCTTAAAATACTGAAAACCGGAACTATTCAATCATCATGGTTACCCTAAATAATACTAGGATCTTGAAGTCAATATATTCAGCAAATATTTGTTGAGTCCCTGTTGGGCACCAGGAAGTACACTAGGCTCTAAGTACACGGTAGTGGATAAAACGGACATGATTCCTGCCTTCATGGAACTTAACACTGGTGAAGTCCAATGCCAGAGGCTTGGTGATTTTGATATGAATTATGATCCCAATAATGACAATGATAGCTTCCCTTTAACGACTGCCTAATACGGGCTATATTATACAGTAAATACCTTTGACATTGTTTTACTTGTACGTATTCCAAAAATGCCACTGATAGTTCCTGAAGTCTTTTTTTTTTAATACACTTTTTGATGTATAAGGAATCCAAAGCTTGAGGAAATCAAATGTACTTGTGCTATTCTAGGTGTGTCTAAAGCAAGCGACAGGTGTAGAATGTCTCCCTCCTCCTGATCCTGTGATCTTTTGCTAGACCACACTGCATCTCTACAAGGGAACTGTGACATCAGCTAGGGGGATTCAAGAACATTTTTGGTGGTGATCCCCTTAAAAAGTAAGGATTTCGCATAAATCTTAGGAGCAGTTAATGGACGTGACAAAAACCAAGCCCGTGACCTCTGAGTAGTTGTCCACCCCCGTATATTCAGGTACATTTGCACCAAAACAGATGTCTGCTTTCATGTTCTGTAGTGTTTTAAACCTCCTTCTCTGTACTTGTTTCTAACAGACGAAAATTGGATCCGGAAAGTTGATGGGGCCCAAGGGAGTCTCTGTGGACCGCAACGGGCACATCATCGTGGTGGACAACAAGGCGTGCTGCGTGTTTATCTTCCAGCCAAATGGGAAGATAGTCACCAGGTTTGGTAGCCGAGGAAATGGGGACAGGCAGTTTGCAGGTACACTCGATGGTAATATGTAAACCCCCTTTTTTATGCTTCTTCTGCTCACATTTGCATGATGTTGGAGCATGTGGAAGATGCCTCAATCCCCAGTGTTTGCCGGCTTTGGGAAAGACACTGGGGATGAAATTTAAGGGAAAGCATGGTGGGATGCTTCTCAGTGACTCTACCCGCAGTAAGTTGGGCTGCAGGCCATGTGTGATTTCTCTTGGCAGCCATGTGCAACTCAGAAGTCTGATCTTTGAATATTAGTATTAAGTAAAACATAAATTTTAAGATAAATATTTTTAAAAATAAAGATGTTTGACAAATAGTAGTGTTCCTCCTAATTCTCTCTAGCTGTAGCTTTGTCTAAAGAGCTTCTGGATGAGAAATTTTTTCACCTTCCTAGGTGATGATAGGAGAGCAAGACTTTTAGAATGTTCAGGAAGGGCAGTTCTGTTACCTCTCTTTTTGGTGTAGCCCTTTTGCAAGCACAAGCTGCTTAGTTTTTCACATCTGCAAGAAGAGGCTGAAAGCAGTTTATTATGTTTTCTTTTTGAGAGGATGCTTTTGGCATTTGACAACAATTTGCATCATCTTTTTTTTTTTTTTTGTGCTTTGTCTCCAGTGCTGCCAGGTTCTGAATGTCACCCCAAATTACCGAGTATGGATTTCTGCTCTACTTTTTAAAAAATATTAAATATTGGAGTCTTTTTCCCAGGACCGAGAATCACCACATCTTTCCTCAGGGGGACCTGAGGGCCCTGAAAGGATTAAAGTGTCCTCAGGGAAGCTGGCAGATGTGACTTTCAGATGGTGGCTTGGAGGATGAATTCTGATGCTTACTGCTCATTCCACTTCGTTAGGGCTGCTAGTGCTCTCAGCTTGCTCTAAAAGAAGCCAGAGTGGACAGTCCCAAGTGTAGAAGGGTAGAGGACCCAGGGGATCTCGAGCCGAGTTCTGGCTGAATGATCTTTCAAGAATGGAGACTGTGATTCTTTGTTCTTTCTTAAGTATCAAATAGGTTAAATTGTGTCACTGCTGTGTTGCTATAATCCTTTTTATCGTTACAGTCGTCACTTACTTTTTTCACCTTTATTGCAGGTCCCCATTTTGCAGCTGTAAATAGCAATAATGAGATTATTGTTACGGATTTCCATAATCATTCTGTCAAGGTACTATCAGCACATCAATTATTGTTATCTTTTAACTGCTTTTATTGGGAAATCAATCAGAGAAAATAATATAATAATGATACATATGCACAGGAACTAAAGGAGTTAACCTCAAAGAGTAGATTTTGCTTCTTCCTGAGGTGCAGGTTTTAATTTGGACATACAGACTTTAGAGAGTCAGAAAATTGAACAAAATAGGGTGGTTGATGAGTTTCTTAATTTGAAACGGGCGTAAATGGTGATGACTACAGAATGAAATTTGAAAAAGCAGTCGCTTGAACTTAGGCAGAACTTTCTGAAGCTTCGTATTTTGTGGCTATTCGATAAATTAAAACTAGATCATTTTTTAATTATCTGCACCATAATGCCTTTCAAACAAAATTAGATATTATAATTCTGCTGCAACCAGAGTTGGGGAGGGAAATAGCCCTAGTATACATTCCTACAGCTATTTCATACTTAGAATGCCCTCACACAGTGTGGGTGTTCCCCAGAATACAGTGCCCATTCAGCTCCCTGGAACAGTGTGGTACATCTTCCTTACTAGGTATGGAGTGGGGAGGAAAAATTTGATGTTTGTTATGATCCAATCAGGACGTATAAAAATGAATCAGAACAGATTTGTCATTTTACTGAAATGAGGAAATGTTTTGTCACATTCTAGACCACGATTCTCAAGGTGTGGTGCATGTTCCCCTGAAGGGACGCCAGTGGGCACGGACCAAGCACTGGCAGGCATTTTTATTTGGAGAGTTATATGTTTATTTTTAGGGTTACCTTCTATTTACATCAAGTGGTACTGCTTTACTCTTACAGAAATGATAGAAAGTTTTCCTTGGAAGTAAATTCATTTACATTTTTTTTAAGTGAGGCTTTTTTTTTTTTTTTTAAGCTTTTATTTATTTGTCTGGTGGAGAGAGAGAGCGCGCACGCGAGCAAAAGCATGGGGAGGGACAGATTGAGGGAGAAACAGGCTCCCCGCTGAGCAAGGAGCCCATTGCGGGACTCGATCCCAGGACCCTGGGATCATGCCCTGAGCTGAAGGCAAACACTTAAGCCACCTAGCTACCCAGGTACCCCTAAAGTGAGGCATTTTTAAAGGAAGGATAATAAGGAAACAGCAGAGGTGATACAGGCCAGTGACTGAAGTTTGCATTTAGAGACAACCATTGGGCAACCAAAGCAAAAAATAGTTTGTTCTTGTTGATAACTGGAATAGCATAGGGATAATAACGTAGGGATGAGATTTCAACGCCCATCTACTGAGTCCTTCCCTGCTCCATTTCCCCAGTTTGCCCTGAAGGCATCTTTAACCTGAGTAAGATGGAAAGGTTTTGAGCTTTTTTTGGTGGGTACCAAGTCCCTGTGTAAAGACTAGAGCAGGGTGGGCTGTGGTAATGGGGCTGGAGGAGGAGAAGGGACCCCCACCATTGCTTATTTCTCAGGCTGCCTCCTGTGTGGACAGTGGTAGACCTCTGTCCACACTCCCCTCACCGCCCTCAGTCTCTCTCTCTACAGGACCTGTCTCGGTGAAAGCAAGAGGACTGTGAGAAAAGTAGTGGTGGGGAGGAGGGAGACCTCAAAGGGGCTGTAGGGACTGGGCCTTAGGCTGGCCTCCCAGAGGGCTGTAACAGTCCTGTGTGAGAAGAGTAACGAGAGGAGGCACAGTCTGGTAGCACGCTTCCAGCCTTCCCTCTCTTTGTAGAGGAATCATTAACTAGAGGGCATTTAAGCCGAAGGTAACCGGTGTAGATGAGCAAAGGCCAGCAAACGCCTGGCATAGATGCTGCCCACCACCCCCGAAGACAGTCCTATTAATCAAGTTGCTCTTTTCTACTAAGCGCAACTGTGGCCTCAGAGCCTTTCCGTCCCAGTGCTCCAGGCAGCCTCTATGAACCAACTGGCATTGGTATGTGGGAGGACTCCTATTTACCAGCCCTGGCTGACAATGTAGAAGGAAATAAAACAGATGTAAGTAATCAACATGCAAGGCAGGTAGCAATAAGCGATTTCTTTAAAAGAGGTACATATAAAGGTCTCTAAGTATCCAGAAGAAAACAAAGAGCAGATTTCTGTAACTAAGACTTAACAGGGAAGACTTCCAAGTGGAGGTGGTATTTAAGGTGAGTGGGATTTTGAAATCAGGAAAGGATTATGAAAGTTATCAAAAAACTTGGCCATTATATCACCGCTGTGAAAACTATTTCAGCTCACACATCTGCCTCTTAATATGTTTTCATCTGAATAATTTACAAGCAATTAAATGATGTCTTAGGCGGGAAAAATAAACTATGATAAATTTATAATTCCTAAGATTCTGATAATACTTCAGGTTTTCAGTACAGTAGAGGTAGACTATTTTAGTAATTTATTTATTTTTTTTTTTTAAAGATTTTATTAATTTTTTTGAGAGAGAGACAGTGAGAGAGAGCATGAGCGAGGAGAAGGCCAGAGGGAGAAGCAGACTCCCCGTGGAGCTGGGAGCCTGATGCGGGACTCGATCCCGGAACTCCGGGATCATGACCTGAGCCGAAGGCAGTTGTCCAACCAACTGAGCCACCCAGGCATCCCTATTTTAGTAATTTAAATTCAGTTTTCCTCGTATTTAAGAAAACCAGTCTATTTTGTTTTTTCTCTTCTCTTTGATAGCTGTTGCCATGTAGCTTTTGTGGAATAGTTGGGCTTTAGTTTCCCATGTAACTCGTGGCAGTTAGAAGTGGTTCTGGGTTCCAGGCACTTCTCTGGTGGTCAGTGTGAAAACTGTGCCTATAGGTCAGGGCTGACAAATGGTCTAGTTCTTTAGCTGCTTTCAGCATGCATTCTCTTTTCATTGCAAAACAAGTAAGACTAAATTTGGCATTCTCTGTCATTTCAAAATAGAGCAGAAGTGTTTGAGCCATTTGGATCATGCCAAGGAAAACATACTTACTCAGAGAGATCAGTACAAACAAACAAAAAGATTATTGGTAGAAGATTATTGTAAAGATGAGAGAATAATAGATTGTGTCCTCACCAGCAAACACTCTCGTTGGTCTTTAAAACAAGAATGTTTTGTGTGAAATGAGATAAAAGTAGTCAGGAAAGATTTTTAAGCTATAACATCTTAGTAAAAGCTGGTTCTTTTTTTATTCTTTGCAAAGAACCGAAGAGGTGGCTTGCTTACTTGGCAAGTTAGGTAATTCAAGAAGCAGTCATGCTTCTTTTTCATTTTAAATGAAGTTTAGCCTTTAGAGATGAAGTGTCTCACTTCACTTTCCCAGTACATATAACTAAAAGGAAGAGTCGTTTTCATCTTTCATGATCACAGAGGTGGCAACAGGAGAATCTGTAAAAGACCCTGAGATCATTTTCCCATTAGATCTGCACTCAGGTATAGTGAAATCCCTCAGTTCCACATTTTAGGAACCGTTACTCTCCATGGTGCTTTGCATGTAATACTTTTTCATTTGTTAATGAGTATTTTTACGCATGTAGGCTAGATGACAATGGAAGCTTAAAATAATGTCCTAGAGATATTTCACAACCATTAACTATCGTCTGAATCATCAAGATAAAAATTGTGCTTGCTCTATCTTATATTTAAACACATACTAAAAATTTAATTCTCTCCAAATCAATAATCTGTATTTGATACATCTACAGTAACACTCCATTAATAGGAATATTTAATTAACCACAACAACCCATTGCTTTTCCATATCAGATATTAGAGAATTTGCCAAAGAATTCTGGTTTTTGCCCACTTCTGTCAACCCGCCTCCCCTCGGTATACTCCATCCAGCAAAGCCTTATGGTCATATAAACTCTTTATCTTAGCTAAGTATATATTTTGAAAAAATACATTAAAAGCCTTTCTTTTGATTCCTCACCTTTGCCATTAAGCACAGATATACACGCGCATGTGCACACCTGTACATTTCCCCTGCTGTAGGTGTGAAGTCTGGCCTACTCTCTTCTCACATCGACTTTGCAAAATGGTAATAAAATCAGAGCATCTGGCCTAACGAAAACTCCTAGGTCCTGATCCAGTGTTGATCACCCATCCTTTAGAAACACGATGTCTGTCCTTGAGACTATTTACTTAAAGGCAGAAAGAATTATATGGTTGAAAATTACAGCTCCACTTTCTCATCCTACCCTATACTTGTATATATTTTATAATTTATAACAAAAGCATTTTTCATACAAGTATTCAAAAACCAGATGTTAAGTTAGAAATAAGTGATTTAATAAATAATAAATCAAATTTATATAGCAAATTGGGGAAGCATAAATGACGTGGGGGTCTACTTTGTAGATTTTTTTTTTTTAAGAATGTCTTAAATCATAGGGCTTGTTATAAAAAACCTGCTCTATACATATTTTTTATAACTCATAATGTTGGTTCAGCTGTTCTCGATTTAAAATAAAACCACTTAAAAATATCTCATACAGGTGTTTAATCAGGAGGGAGAATTCATGTTGAAGTTCGGCTCAAATGGAGAAGGAAATGGGCAGTTTAATGCTCCAACAGGTGTAGCAGTGGATTCAAATGGAAACATCATTGTGGCGGACTGGGGAAACAGCAGGATCCAGGTAACTGGAAATGCTAATGTATCTGTGGAGAGGGATTGTTATTTGTTGAAAGTGAAGAATTGCCTGTCTCCCAACCGGAATGTGTTCCATTCTTCATGGGTTAGATTCTCCATAGACCACTTGATCTCACCAGAAGTGCTGAACTAAGGAAGGTAGAGTAGGAAGAACATCAACAGGTTACCAGAGTGAATCCTAAAGTGTGTAGTGGATAGAACTCAAGAGGTCCATTGAACCAAAATATTTTATTACTAGTTCTACTAGCTTCTAACTAAAAACTATCATTTTCTTTAACAATGAATATAGGCAACAGTCACAGGAGTTTTAGTAATACCTATAACTCTGTCACCGCGAGGAATCACAGAAATTTCCATATTACAGTTGCAAGATCTCAAATTACCATTTGTGCTCATCGCTCTTTGAAAATAGTCAGTATTAGACACATCACTCTTTCTTGTTACCTTATTGTGTTAAGAAAGTACACATATTACTATCTTGCCATTTTGTGAAATTTTGATAACTATATTTTAATATGATGGTTTTCCTTTATAACCCCATGTATTTTGTTTTAATCATTTAAAAACATTATTCTGCTGAATAACCTGAATCAAAGGGGAGGCCTCAAGGAAAACTTAAAAACACATCGAACTGAAGGAAAACACAGATAACAGCATATCGAAGTTTGTGGAGTGCCGCTAAGACAGTCCTAAGAGGGAGATTTTCCCCCCCGGCTTTATTGAGATCTAATTGACATATAGCACTGTGTAAGTTAAAGGTGTACAACATGTTGATTTGATAAATACGGCAAAACGATTACCACTATCGCTTTAGTTAACACCTCCATCACCATCCCACTGTTAGCATTTCTTTTTTGTGGTGACAACGTAAAGGTCTCCTCTCAGCAACTCTCAAGTACCTAAGACAGTTTTATTAACTATAATTCCCCCGCTGTGCGTTAGATCCCCAGAACTTAATCATCTTCTAACTGGAAGTTTATACCCTTTGATCAATTTCTCCCCCTTTCCCTCACTCCTCAGCTCTGGTAACAACCATTCTACATGTGAGGGAAACTAACAGCACTAAATGCTTACATTAGAAAGTCAGAAATCGATATTCTGAGCTCCTACCTCAAGAAGCTGGAGAGCAAGGAGCAAAACAAGCTAAAAGCAAGCCGAGGGAAGGAAATGGTGAAGATAGGAATAGAAATCAATGAAATGCAAGGCAAACAATATGGAAAATCAATGAAACAGAAAGTTGGTTCACTGAAAAGAGCAGTAAAATTGAAAACCTCTGGCAAGATTGATAAAGGAAACGACACAGACCACTAATACCATTACAGACTCTGCAGTCATACAGAAATTCTGTGAACAACTCTACAGCCATAAATTTGACAATTTAAATTCCTCAAAAAGTACAAATCCCACAACTCACCCAATATAAAATACTTTGAATACCCCAAAAACTACTAAGGAAGTTTTATTTCATAATTTTCTAAAACTCCCCAAGAAGAAATCTCCAGACTCGGATGGTTTTACTGGAGTGTTCTACTAAACCAGATGAAAGGTACACAGGATTTCTCTGTACTATCAGTGCAGATTCCTATAATTTTTTCAAAATTAAAAGTTAACAAAAACGGGGCGCCTGTGTGGCTCAGGTCATGATCCTGGAGCATCAAGTCCCAAGTCAGGCTCCCTTTTCAGTGGGGAGTCTCCTCCCTTGCTGCTGCCCTCCCCCCTCTTATTCCTCTCTCTCTCTCTCTCTCTCTCTCAAATAAATAAAATCTAAAAAAAATAAAATAAAAGTTAACAAAAATAAACTTTAAAAATAGTAATGAATTTAAATACGTTGTCATGGTTGAGCAATAATGGTGTCGTAAATGGCATTTGGCATTTTATTTGGGTATAAAAGAATAATAAAAGTGGTTACAGTCTAGAAAAAAATATTAAAACACTATTTTCAGACGGGGTCTGTAGTCTTTGCTAGACAAAAAAATGTATGATTTTTTTAAAAATTAAGAACAAAGATTTTGAATCCTCAGACTAAAGAAAGATTATTCTTTCCCCCCATTTCTCTGTGTAAACACCTCCATGAATCCAAACATACGTCTGCAGACGGGCCTATTTATCCTTGCTAATGTGGCCCTGTACAGAGCTCCTGGGACCTCAGAATGCACTGGTTAAATCTAGTAGCATCCAGATGTCTTTGTGAAGACAGCAGTAGTCAGCAGTTTGAATCTGGTATAGGTATTTACCTCCCAGAAAAAGGATTGAGGGGCACCTGGCTGACTCAGCCACTAGAGCATGCAACTCTTGATTGCGGGGTTGTGAGTTCAAGCCCCACATTAGGTGTAGAGTTTACTTTAAAAAAAAAAAAAATCTTAAAAAAGAAGGAAGAAGAAAGATTGAGGCTATAAATGAAACTCTAAATGTTTTTATTTCTCTGTTATATTTACCTTGCTTAATTATGCCAGCTGACATCTACATTTGAAAGAGGCATTCTGTATGTGATGGAAAGCCAGAAGCCAGACAGGGCACTACATTCACAAAGCAGTTCAGTATAAGACCACAGATGGTAAGCTGTTTGGATTGTGGCCCTCATAAGCACCTGCCTCATCACACTGCCTTTTAAAACATCTTTGGGCCTAACAGAATGGTCAAAAGAAACAAGCCTGGGCCTTACGAAAGAGAAGGGTTCCTTTTATTTCATCATGGCAGAAGCTTACGGACCAAAAGAAGACTACTTCATATCCAGATATACATGGGGCGCCTGAGTGGCTCGGTCGGTTAAGCTTATGACGCTTGATTTCGGCTCCAGTCATTATCTCAGGGTTGTGAAATCGAGCCCCATATGGACCTCCGCACTGGGCATGAAGCCTGCTTAAGATTCTCTCTCCCTCTCCTTCTGCCTCTCTCCCCCTAAAACTAAACAAAGCAAAACAAACGTACATGTTGTGGGATGTCCCGCTGGCTGTTGTTAGAGCATGTGACTCTTGATCTTGGGGTTGTGAGTTCGAGCTCTATGTTGCATGTAGAGATTACTTAAAAATAAAATCTTAAAAAAAAACCAACAACCTCACAAATGTACATAGTAAACCATTGACTTCTTAAAACTCCTCTTTTCTGAAAAGGAAAATAAATGATCTTCTCATAGTATACTATGGCAACCATACCTCTGTTGCTGCTTTTTCTGTTATGATTGGGAATAAAAAAGGGATGTGAGGCTGGAAGGAGGGAAAGTGAAAACTAAGAGAAAGAAACAAAGGTCATTCATTTTCAGGTACCATTGATGGCTATTCCCCTCAAACTGACCACTGTAAGAATGTAAGTGAAATCTGTTGGCCAGTGGCATCCTCCTTGTCAATGACTCTGGGGCATAGAGAATTAGAGGAGAAAAAGCAAGGTTAAGTAGAGGGAAAGAGTGGATATGTGATAGTGACCTAAACAAATCTGTGGGCTTACATGCATAGTTTTTCTAAAGATTTATTTTTATTTATTTTGGAGAGTGAGGGAGGGGCAGAGGGAGAGAGTGTCTTACGCAGCTGTGCTGTGTGCGGAGCTCCACGCAGGGCTGGCTCTCACGACCCTGAGATCACCACCTGAGCCGAAACCAAGATTTGGATGCCTGACTGACATGCCCCTTACACACATGCTTTTATACTGAAAAGATTAGCATCAAGGGTTTTCTAACTCCTCTATTTCATCATATTACTATAACTTCTATAGCACTTTGGCTTTTTATTTTTTTATAGGTTTTTGATGGAAGCGGATCATTTTTGTCCTATATTAACACATCTGCTGACCCCCTCTATGGCCCCCAAGGCCTGGCCCTGACTTCAGATGGCCATGTCGTGGTTGCAGACTCTGGAAACCACTGTTTCAAGGTGTACCGGTACTTACAGTAATGACGGGCAGCCGGACAGCCCCTTACAAAGGTCTTGCACTATAAACTGGAATGGATTTCTCGACGCGGGACCAGATTACACTAGACTTTCCTTGCTAGAGGGAATCATTGGTGAACTTTTCAAGGTTATTTCTGAATGTAACTATTTCCTTAAAAACTGCATATCTGATTTCTGTATTCACCTTTTAGGGTTTAAAGAAAAGAAATCCCTTCTACTGAATCTATGGAAATGGCAAAGTTTTACACCTGTGAACTATGGCTTATTGGACAGGGATTTATGTAGTTGAACTGATTTTGCAAATCGAACAGACACTAAAACACAAAACAAAACAAAAAAAACCTGGACTATGTAAAGGTATTCATTAATCCTGTGAATGGTAGCTTTTGTGCAGAGCTTCCAAAAACAAAACAAAATCTATTATAGTTACATACTTTATTTAACTTCGGTTACAAGACCCGGGGGATCTTCTAACTTCCCTTTTACAGTAGGTATTACTCCTGTGACATTTTTTGGGTTATCGATAATTACACATACATTAGGAAAAAAACAAGACTGTCTTGCAGAATCCTCCCAGCTGTGATTAGGCAGTCCTCTTGAGTTTAGCACTTAAAAACCACTGCAAATTTCCCATCCTTTTTGGGTTAGATCCAAGATCCTTTTTGTGTGTTCTTTTCACCTTTTTCTCCCACTCACCTTGTATCAAAAAACAAAGTCCATTTTCAGGGAAACCTGAAATTCCCAATGCTTTGAAAAGCATATTACAATAGCAAATGCTACCTTTTAGTAAACGAACAGCCCCCTCAACTCCAGACTAATGCACTAGAATGTAATCAAGAAAAAATTAGCCACGTTTTATGTGCCAATGTTCTCACGTGTCTCTCCTCTTCCACTTCCTGAAAGCGAAAGCTTTACCTCCTGCAAAATGTCAGCACATGTAGTAGGACACCAGTATCCTAGGACAGAGAGCCATAAGTAGCCCTTTGGAGGACTGATGGTGTCGACCAAAGGCATGTGAATGATTAATGGTTTCCCCTTAGAAAGCAAGTGTTACCAAAGTTGTGTTATCCCAAGAGCATTACAGGTAAGGGCATGTTATGGTTATTTATCATTGTCTAATGAATAGTAGAGGCATTAAAGGACTATGTATACATGATTAGGGTAAGGTAGAATGTATCATATATATATATATATATATATATACACACACACATATATATATATATATATATATACATACACACACACACATATATATATATATGGCTGAATCTTTGGTGTATTGAAATAGGCAGCACTCTGAAAGACAGAAGCATTGTCCAGCACATTCCTTTACCGTGCAATTTAAAGCCGTCCTCATAGAGTAAGCCTGAAAACAGGTTTAATTTTCACCATTTTCCAGTAATGATAATACCGGCTAACTTTTATAGCCAGAAAACAGCCTTCTGTGCTTTCAAAAACAAAACAAAACAAAAACAGGTCGAAAGAAAAAGAAACGATGAATTGAGTTACATTTAAGTATACATGCGTTTGGAGAGATGTGTAGAATTTAGTCAGTTGTTAATCTGTCACTGATACTGTAACATAAGATGTGGTCTGTTTCCACTGTTTAATTTTCTACTCAGTTCTACCAAATAGGATGTCATGTTTGGCATTTTTGAAATGACTTTGGGATCTTTTTCACTGAAAGCACCTTAGAACTGTACTATAAGAAAACATTTCCCATATGTATAATGATGTGATGTTTATTGCTTATTAATTTATAATTCAGTCTTTCTCTTATATAGGACTTTTTTAAAGTTAGAAGGGAAAACTAGCTACTTCCAGTTGTCTATCAAATTTATTATGCCCAAATCAACCTCTGAAAGAAAATTTTTCAGGAAGATTTACATTTAGGTTTACTTTTTTTTTTTTTTAGTTAGAGCTTTCAAAATATTTGAGACTATGACAAAATTATAAAATTCAATAACATTTTTAGAATATTAAGCTAAGATACTGTTTCCTAACATCAACAAACTAAGTCTTTGAATTGAAACAAAGCATTTTGTATTTACTGAGTGCTTCCTAGGTGCTGGGCACCCTTTTGGGCACTGGGGAAACAGAGATGGATGAAACCAACAGAAATCCCTGCCCATTTGGAGCTTTCACTCTAGGGAGGAATTTCCTTTTGCCACTTACTAACATTCTGCATTCAAGATAAGCTAGACTCTTGATAGCTCCTAGATTGTTTAAAACTTTTTATATTGGTTCAATTAATTTTGGTTTATTTTCACAAGTAAAAATGGCTTCTTATTTAGATTCTGTCACAGGTTGTTGGTCTTAAGACTAGTTTACTTTTAAAAAGATGTTTGTTTGTTTGTTTGTTTTCACAGGATTGAAATTGTATTTGTGAATTTAGAAATTAACCAGCCATCATGCCAGAACAGGTTGGCTATCTGAATAATAGATTGAATACAAGACTAATTGTTTTTTTTAATCTGTCAATATTGACACAAACTGGAATGGAAGACTAGATACTTTGATTCAGACCTTTTCCACCATCTGTTGCTAAAACATTTGTGATGGACACTCCAAGAAACACTGATTTCCGCCCCCCCCAAAAATATGTAATTGTGTATGTTAAAGTATAGATAACATTTCACATTTGGATACATAGGAGCATTTACTGTATTCCTTAGTAAGCATATTGGGTGGAGGGAAGTGCTGCTGATAAGATACGAATAGACAAGATTTAAATGAAATTTTGTCAACATTCTATGGAAAAGGGTTTCTGGTAAACTGAGAAGGATTTTAAAATAAGTGACTTTTTCCCCTGAGCTATCATTATTGTTTTCTTTCTCTTTGTCAAGTGTACAGAACCTGTCATACATTCATGATAAGTAGCACTGAAAAATTACCCATTCAAATGTCCCCTGGGCACTTAACGGCAAAAGATTGCCAGTTCGAATGTAAAGGTCAGTGACAACGCATTCCAGCCCGATACAGACCTCTCCTGTGGGGCTCTGGGGATGTAGTCACTTGACCATCCAGAAAATACATGAATAAAAAGCCTTTATGACTGTTCACCATCAATTTAATGGTACTTAGTATTTCGATCAAGCTTTTGTCTCCAGTAACAAAACAAGTTCCCGAGTTTCCTTATTTTCATTTACTCTTTGACTAGATTCGAGACAAAGAAATACTACAGGTCATGCAACTAGAAGGCACTTGCTTCTACTACCAAATATACAGGGTATGTCCTTACTTGGAGTTAACTGGAATAGTAGTACAGAAGCAAGTGTCTCTGGATCCTTCCCAGGGAAGGATTCACGTAAATGCTTTGGTAAAACCTACTGAGGAATTGGAGGAAATAGTAAACAAACATTAGGTACTGTGCAGATTACTTCAAACGGGAAATACCTTTTTGTACATTAGGACTCTATAGTATCCTCCCTATTCACCAGCTTCTGAAGAGGGGGGAGTATTTTTAGTTTAATAATCTAAAAAGAGGACCTTTCCAGGTAGGATAAAATTGAAGCTCTTTGCTGCAAACATCTAATTTGCTTAAAGTCGAACGTCGTAATACTGTTGCATTCTGTCAATGTTGCAGGGTTTTAAACTTTACAATTATTTTAATATTTTTGATAACTAGGAATCTAGTATTGCCATAAAGAAAACTAAGTGCCCATTAAAGATTTGTTTGATATAAATAAATGATTTTTTTTTGTTTTGTTTTAAATGACAGTAAGCTACAAATCATGATGTTAATTTTAAAACGTTCTGAAGATGAACTGTGTGGCAGTGATTGTGTGGTCTGTTTGTGGAGAATGTATGAAAGCTATTCATATTCTAAAATAGATTAATAAATCAGCTATGTTGTCCCAATGAATGTACAGCACGTCCATTAACTTTCGAAAGCAACACAGCCTTAAACTCAATGCATTTGCTTTATGACATGGGAATGTTCTGTCATCAACAGAGTGTATTCTTGTAATAGAATTCTTTATATCATTCTCAATTCTATTGCCTTTCAGTCCTATGTATGAGTATTAAGGGTTTTTGCTTCCTTTTTTTTTTTCTTTTTAAATTTTGTACATTCCATCTTTCTTGGTCTGTTGCATACGTTTTGTGTATAGAACACTAAGTCTTGCACTCTCTGGCATTGATACTGATATAATCTCATTTGTTCTTTTATGAATCGAAATGCTGACTGCCTATTTAAAGAAAAGAATGAACGCTGTGCATCAAAGTGTTTGTATGTTCGTAGCTGCATACGTACCACAGTATTTTGGATGCTTTAGTCTACAATAAAACTTTAAATTAATTCTGTCTTAAAACCTAGGAGAAACAAGATTCGTGTGTATATCTTTACCATGCACAAAATCTCAAATCATTATAATAAAGCTTGTTTTCTCCATTTCCAGGGTGAATGTTTATTTATTCTACATATTGTTTGCTTTTGTAGTAACGGGGAATGAAGAAATGTTCTAGAATATGTGGGCAGGTATCAGTACCTCAACTAAACTGTTAAATTTGTAAAATTTTTGTTGTTTATGATACCAATAATTTGGTTACCGTTTAGGATACATCTTAGGAATTTGGAAGACCATGACAGGTATGCCTAGCACATGTTTCGAAAGTCAAATAGACCAAAATCACTATGCTTAAAGAATCACAAGCGGGACCTTCAGAAAATCATGGCAGTCACATGGAGCACGTTCTCACAAGGTGTGGCCGTGACTGCACAGGACCATAGCCCGGGCCCAGGTGGCTACCCTGAGAGCCAGGGCCGTGGGAAGCAAGTTCACCAGGGGTTTCCAGCCAATTCTCAGGAGCATTCTGTACAAATCAGTAGGCAGAAATCTAGTGAGAACTGGTGCGCCCGCAAACTAGAAAGGGACAGCAGCCTAACTACTGTCTTTAGTAGTAGTGCGCGTGCGCAGTTGGAATCGCCTCAGAACGCTGGCCAATTCTCACGATATCCTTTTGGGCTTAAGGCTCATGAAAATAGGCCAGACACCCTGGCAAACTCTTTTCCAATGGCGGGGACCCTCAGGGGAGCCGCCTGGGCCCCACCAGTGGCCCCTTGTGCTCGTGGCCTGAACCTCGCGACAAAGCGCTCCAAACCTGTGGCCCAAATTGCTGTAGGACGACCGCCAGTTCTCACAACTTTCTGCCCAAATACATATCGATTTGGATAGAAAGCTTCTGAGAATTGGCCCGTGTTTTCTGGCAATTCAGGCCTTGTGGAGTTTGGAACGAGTTCCCCCGAGGGTTGGGCTGAGACATGGCGTGATTATGGCTGGAGCCTGCACGATTCCGCTGAGTGACCCCGCCATTGGAAGTTGTTGGAGGTTTCCAGCCAATTCTCATGAGCCTTCTATCAATTTGGGTAGAAAGCTGGTGAGAATTGGTTCGGTGAGAATTGGTTCACGTTG